TGCAAGAGCAGACAGTGCTCTTAACTGCTGAGCCATCTCTCCAGCCCCTTAAAATATTTTATTTTTAAAAATATTTTATTAAAATTTTTTTTTATGTAGCCTGGCATGGTGGCACATACCTTTAATTGCAGCACTCTGGAGGCAAAGGCAGGCGGATCTCTGTGAGTTCAAAGCCAGCCTGGTCTACATAGTGAGTTCCAGGCCAGCTGGGGCTATAGGAAGACCCTATCTCAAAAAGACTTCCCCCCAATTTTTTTTATGTGTATGAGTATATTGCCTGTATGTGTGTAAGTACACCCATGTTGTGCCATGCCTGTGAAGGTCAGAGAGGATGTTGGATTCCCCTGGAACTGGAGTTACAGATGGCTGTTAGCCTCCATGTGGGTGCTGGGAATCGAACCCAGGTCCTCTGCAAGAGCAGCTAGTGCTTTTAATCCCTGAGCCATCTCTCCATCCCCTCCATCTTATTTTTTGAGATGGGGGTCTCTCACTGAACCCAGAGCTCAATGTTTTGGCTAGACTGAGGGGTCAGCAAGTCCCTAGGATCCATCTGTCTCTGCACCACCTAGTGCTGGGGTTATAGACATGTGCTACCGTGCCTAGCTTTAATATGTATGCTGGGAATCTGAACTCAGTTCATCATGTTTATACAGCAAGCACTTTACCCAGAGTCATCTCCTAGGTTCCTTGACCATGTTTTTAGTAGGTCACCAAAAGTATAAGCAACAAAGGAAGAAAGAAATAATTTGGATTTTATCAATACTAAAAACATTTTGCACATTGAAGTACACTACCAAGAAAGTGAAAAGAAGCCAGGCATGGTGGTGCACACCTTTATTCCTTGCACTCAGGAGGCAGTGGCAGGTGGCTCTCCATGAGATCAAGGCCAGCCTGGTCTATATAGTGAGTTCCAGGCCAGCTGGGGATACAGGGAGACTGGTTATCAAAAAAAAAAAAAAAAAAGAAAAGAGAAAACTACATAACCAGAGAAAATATTTACAAATCTTATGTTAGATAAAGACCCAGCATCTATTTTGTACAGTAACTATTATGACTCAACATTGGACAGCAGAGGCTGGGCCTGGTGGTGCACACCTTTAATCTCTGCACTTGGGAAGAGAGGCAGGCCAGTCTCTGTGAGATTGAGGCCAGCCTGGCCTACATAGTGAGTTCCAGGTCAGCTGGAGCTACGGAGAGACCCTGTCTCAACCCT